CCCAGCGAGACCATTTTGGCTTTTTTCCAATTTTTTGACATTTTTTTATTGTTTGTTTTGCAGGCGCTGGGCCCTTTGGGCCTAACATTCTTTTTTTATTTTACTAACATATCCCATGTTTACTTGTGACACCACCCTGACCCATTTTATTTTTATTTATTTATTTATTTATTTTTCTGATTAAATATATTTTCTAAAATACCAAAAAAAATCATAAAATGTATAAAAATATATAGAATTATATTTTGACATAATTTGAATATTTTTCCACATAAAAAAAAATTATTTTATTCACCATGCTTTATTTACTTTTATTAATTTCCTTGTAAATGTTAAAATAAAGCTAGGTTATTATTTATCTAAATATATTTATTTTAATGTTAAAAAAAGACCAACAAAATTTCATAATACCATAATCTATTTTTAAGACAAAAATATAAAAATACAAATAAAAATACTTTTTCTTTAAACTTATTTTCTTTTAATCAACTAAAAAATAGATTTTGGGTTTCATCCAAAAAAATATTTTCTTAATTAAAATATTTTCTTAATTAATTTCTTTTCTTAACTAACTTAAGTTAATTTAATTTAATTACTTTTTTCTCTAGTTTGGTTAAAATCAAAACCCTTTTCCTTAAGAAACCAAGTAAAAAATCTTTTTTTCTCTCTTACAATTCTTGCATATTTGATTCATCTTGTATGTTATTTATTCCAATTTTTGTACATATTCAATTTGGTTTTAATATATTAATTAGGTTTATATTATTGCAATCCCCATTCATAAATTGTATACCCCCTCCCACAAATGTTGTAATAGCGTAGTAATTATAAATTTCGCAATTTATCGCTTTTACATAATATGCTAGTAATTAGGGTTTGTATGGAAAGAATAAACTCAATCAAATAGAAAACCCTAATTCAAGACAAAATCAAGCATGAAAATGACACCCTTTGCACACAAGCACCCCTAGGATTATCCCACTTGGTTGCCTTACAAAAATGGCCATATTACGCATGTAAGGTATCTTAGCAAAAACAAGCAAATAGAAGATCATAGTCCCTCCATGATGTTATCTAAAGTTTCCTTACAAATGATCTTAGTCCCTCAATAAATAATGCTAAGATACCTTGCAACATTTCTAATCATGGCTATACGATGACCCACGTCCGTCCTGTTTACATCCAAAGATATGGTTTCTTACCAAATCAATGGTAAGACAACAATGTCAAAGAAAAAGAAAATAAACAAGAAAGACATTTGAATAGGTAGTTTGATCCTAATTACTTGCTCCATTTCAAAACAAACATCCTTGCAATTTTCAAAAACAATCACGTACACTTTCAAACATCTTACAAAATTGAAAACATTTTCAAAAGATCAAACATCTTTGTATACATTCTTACGGACAAGAATCATTACAAAGATTGCCTAAACAATGACCTCTTTAAAAAATACTTTCAAAAGCCACACGAAGAAAATTTCAAACAAAAGCAAGTGATCTAGCAAGTAACTAAGAGCCCATGAATAACCATGGATGAAAAGGGTGCTAATACCTTCCCTTTTCATAATCTACCCCCCGAACTCAAGAAACAATCTCAAAGGTATTTCCTGTGCTTTTTCACCTTTCCTTTTGGATAAAAGAAAAGTCGGTGGCGACTCTTGCTAACCGCAACATTTGCGATAAAATGCAAAACCTCAAGTCAGTTCTCCCACCGTATCACAGAACTGGCGACTCTGCTGGGGACAATTTTAAAAGTGGGGTTACCTTAGGGATAAATCACATTTTGCTTACATTGTTTGACTTATATGCCTTACATTATGGTTATTTGTTTAGGTTTGAATCCTCTACCCGGATTTGGGATACCTTATAGGTAAGTAACAATGTGTTGTGGAAACTGTGTTGGGTATATCGACATGGTCTAAGCAATAGCTACGTTAGTGTGAAATATTTGTGGGTACCTGTAGCCTTTGAGTTAGTCAAAGAGAATACGGGGCCGCCGAGTGATGTCATGAAGAACTAATGAACTTCTAGAAACTTTACTTGACCAACTTGGCCTTTAGGATGTTGTGAGATGACCGACTTTGGTGCAGTCCGAAGTTCGTAGATACTCGATACTACACTCATTGAGGTTTGGTTTCTTGGGATATTTAGGTCTCCATTAAAGAGGCTTGAGCTGAAACAATGACCAAGGAAACAAACCAGTGATATTGAGCTCCTTAGAACCCGGTTACTATTACTAGGACAGGTTTGAGCCAACTAAACTTCAAGAGGGTACTTACCTATAAAACTCCATGCAAGCCTAAACCTAAGGACTTGTTTGCTTTGTTTGTATATGCATACTTGTACATAACATCATAAACATCATGAACATCATATACATCCACTAACCATTTCAAGGATTTTGGGATTCATCTTTGTTCTTGTTTTGTAGGATATGGATTCACTTCGCAGGAAAACTATTCAAGTCAACCTTGTAAGGATATCTCCACAACTTAAGGAGCTACTTTCAAGGATTCCCGAAAAGTCTCCATTCACCGAGAGACATGGTTGTTGCACCCTAAAATTTGCCCTCCTAATTTCCTTTTATTTTTGGCTTAGATTTTTGCATTCATCTGCATCTTTTTCATTAGGTCACTAACATGGCATACATTTCATTCAATATAGCTCTGAGGTTCAAAATTCAGTGGTTGTACGATACTAGGGTTTCATAGTGGTTAAGGCGCTCATATCCAATAAAGGACTTCTTCTCCGTCAAGTAGCAAGGCTATTATCTTCTGATAAACAACCGATTGTAGGTCATTCTGGTCAAGAACTCTAGGACGGGACCTAGCATATGTGGGCTTCAAATCATGACGTCCTTTCCTATAAGTATGCTTGTCATTTGATTAGGATTAATGACTGTGACATGACAATCATCTACTCCTCAGTTAATCAAATTAGGTTTTGTTGAATCATGGTTCAAAGATGTTTTATCCGGATATTTCTCTGTGCGTCTGAACGAGGAATCAAGATTGTGAGGGTTTCACATCAAGGGAATTCTTCTGTGATTCAGACTTTATCATCCATCTGTAAGATGTTCCTTATGACACTAATCTCAAGTTGAAATAACTGATCGCTAAGGGCTGTGGATTTAATTGTGAAGCGTGGTTCATGACCTAAGATATGAATTCATAGATTTCTCCTTAACCAAGGCAATCATTGTCCTCATCATTGTCATTTGTTATCTGCGATGCGAGTAGGTTTGAATTGAAGTAGGTTTCTCATAGAAGAATTCATGCAAGGTAATTCAAGGTTCAAGGCATTCAAGGCAGGGTTTGTTCAACATGGCATACCTGGTTGATAGGCTTACAAGCTCTTATGAGACCTTGAGATGCATAATCATGGGTCAATTTCAAAGATATGTGGATAAGATCTGTTGACTTCGGTTAAAGTAAGCTTTGAAAAATTAACTTTGGGACCAAGGTCTCCCTTGAATTTTCATCTAATATGTGTTGGGAATTCGAGTTGCATTTGAAGAATGGTATGGTAAAGGAAAAGAAATATTGGTTCAGAAAAGAAAAAAATTCATTAAAAATCAGGGTTTCTATTCATTGATAAAAGTTCAAGTAATTGAAGATCAGGGGAAATAAGGTTTCATATTCATATTCTTTCATTATCATTTACATCCATCTTTGATGATTTAACGTCGTCAATTAGGGAAGGACTTTGTCAAGATAAGAGACTTGTGGATTGAATCGTGGAATATGAGGCATGATACAAAAGGCAAGGTTGTGAATTTTTTAGGATCAAGATCTTATTGACTATTCAAATTATTTGTCATTCAAGAGTGAAGTTAGGAGTTCATTGAGAATGCAAAGTGTGATTTGGATTTGAAGTTTGATTTGAGTTCAAGATGTTCGAAAGTGTTTGGTTGAATTAAAGTCGGCCAAGAGTCTTAAGTATTGGCCATATGGCTTTCTTGGAAGGTAAAGTACAGACTGCAAGGTTTTGTTTCAAGTCAGAGTTCATACGCATTACAAAGACGTTCATCGTTATTCCAGATTCAAGTTGACATGTGTTCAAAGTTTATTCGAACCCTTTCATTCATGATTCAAGAAAATACTATCCAATTCCATTCAATTTCATTCAAGTGTAACAATACCTTACAAGAAAATTTGATGCTTTCATGTCTTCAAGCATTTTTTCAAGACTTTGTCATTTAAACTCCGTCCTTAAAATTCATCACCCAACATTTCAAGCTCAAAGGTTATTTACAATTCACACTATAAATTTCAAGTTCATCCAAACCAAACATTCATTATAAAATCATTACAATCCCATTACACCAATATTCTAAAAAGAAAAAAAAAACTGTTACAAAATACACTTGAACAAAATTCTTTAGTCCTAAAGGTGCTAAAATTCCATGAGTAAACTTCTAATTCCATGCCATGCCAAAGTTCTTCATCTTCAGTTCATGACCTGCACATTCATACAAAAAAATCCAAGTCAATACAAGCAATCATGCCAAAATATCCTATGCTCATACAAATTACTCGACACATGAAAAACCATTAATTAACCCAAACCAAATGCTAAACACATATATGGAACAACCTGCATACCTTAACTTTGGCAGAGAATAGGTCCACATCATTCAAACTAACTGCAATTGAAAGGAAAATCAAATTCAGCTTCGAAACAATGTCCAACAATAACCATAATCACACATTTCCAATTGCGGCTACTTTTGTTCATGCTCTTGTTGCTAAATCTATGTCAAGAAACTTCAGGGCTAATACAGTTTGAAGCCTCTTTAAAATGGAAACAAAGTCTCCCTCAACAACCAATTCTTGATTCATGGATCATTAGCAATTCAAGTTCAACTTCAACACAAATACCATGTTCATGGAGAGGTATCACTTGTGATTCTAAAGGAACTGTCAACAATTGCATTCTGTTATCTATTCTCAGGCACGATACATATTTCTCCAACGTCTTCAAAGTCTACACACAGTTATGGAAATTCCAGCAAGAGAATCGCCAGAAGCTAATCGAAGCCGGCTTGAAACGCTGGGAGATCGGCGAAATCGCCTCACGAATCGGCCAGCTCTATTTCGGACAGTACATGAGGACTTCTGATTTTAATTATTTATCAGAGTCTTATATTTTCTATGAAGCTATTTTCACTCGTGATTATTTTAAAAACGGTTTTGTTTCAGGATGTGAGCATTGCGAATAAACAGTTGAGATTCTTGGCTAGGTTTTTGACGGTTTGTTTGCTTTTGAATCGGAGGGAAGTGTTGCAGAAGTTGGTTGATCGGCTTAAGGTGTTGGTTGAGGAGTGTAAGAGAGTCTTTCAGGATAGTGATTTTAAGGAATGGAAGGTCGTTGTGCTGGAAATTGGGAGGTTTTTGAAGGCGGATACTGCTTTTATGAATGTTAGACCCTTGAGATATAGTTTGGTTTTGGATTCTCATCCTGATAATTTGCCACATGTTCCTGTTGCTGTTGCGAAGCGGAATTTGAAATTGCGAGATGCTGTGTTGAGTAGCTTTCATCATAACGAGGTTAAGTTTTCGGAGCTCACTATTGACACTTTTAGGATGCTTCAATCTTTGGAATGGGAACCTAGTGGCTCGTTTTACCAATCTAGTGGCTCAAAACTTAGTCATAATGGGGCAGCCGGGACTGGTCGTGTCAGTTACTTACAAGATATTGTTGATCCTACGTTACCGGCAAACCCACGGAAAGCTATATTATACCGTCCTTCGCTGACACATTTCGTAGTTGTTCTTGCCACAATTTGTGAGGAGCTTCCATTGGATGGTGTTCTCCTTGTATATTTGTCAGCTTCAGGAGCAGGATCTAGTGGGGCTGGACATAATGAATCTGGTTGTTTAAACTTTGGCTCCCGTGGAGATAAAGGATCAAACTGCATATGTCCATCTGACTTTCTACCGTTTACTATAAGACCACTTCTTTTAGTCATTGATAATGAGAACAACAAAGCTTTTAAGGTTATAACAGAGGCAAGTAAAGGAGAGTCAGTGGCAATGCTCCTTTCTCCAAGCCGCCTGCCTCCTATTGCGTCTGATTTCTCACACTCCTCAAACGGGAGCTTATTCACCATGTTTCTTACAACTCCTCTGCAATCTTTCTGTCTGCTGCTAGGATTTTCAGGCACTGATATTGATTTGGACTTGTACAATAAAGCTGAAACACTGCTCTCGTCATCATTAAATAACTGGGGTATGGCGTTGGCATCATCAGACACACTTGATCCAATTTGGGGACAGGTTTTAGGTGATCCATTCATAAAGGAGGCCGGGGAGCCTAACGCAACTGCACTTGGATATTAATTTTTGGAAATGCACCAGGTTGTTGAAGCTATGAGGGGTAGAAACCTACAGCCTGCTCTCACATGGATCTCTGCCAATAGTGAAAGACTTGCCCGAATTGGTTCCAATTTTGAACTTAAGATGCACACGCTGCAGTATGTAGAGGTTGTGCAAAACAAAACCCAAGTTGATGCACTAAAATATTCCAGAACTTAATTCTAAAATCCTCTACTTCCCTCAAGGACATTCCGAGCATACACATGAACATGTCAGCTTTCCTACTAACTTCTTCACATAGCATATTACCTCTTAATAACAAAATTGCCTTCAACAAACTTAACTAAATCCATTAACCTCCTTTCACAATAGAATTTCTAACTAATTTGCTACTAAACTATCATATTCTCTAACTGTCCAGCAGAAAAATAACTAAACAGTATCCTAGCTACTCTTCATTCCAAAACTAACACATAACCTCCCCTCTAACCGATTTTCCAGCTCATCTCTTAACTACCGTAACACAACTTCCTCTAAAAGCCTAACTCCTCTAACTCCAACCAATTAAAAACATGACTTTTAACTTATAACTAACACAATTTCAACCAACCTTTCTAATTCACAGATTCCTAACTGTGATCGGTGGATCTGGAACTGATTGTTTAACGCTGGTTCGCGAAATGTCGCGGAAGCAAGAGTCTCCACCGTCTTTTATTTTCTCCAAATGGAAAGGACAAAAGCACAGAAAAATTCCTTATAGAGATTGCTCTCGGTTCGGGAGGTAGGTTATAGAAAGGGAAGGTGTTAGCACCCTTTCTATCCATGGTTATCCATGGGCTCTTAGATACTTGCTCATTTGTGTTTTCAAAATGGTTTGTTTGCTTTTCAACGTGAGTGGATTTTAAAAAGTTTCTTTGAAAATTTCAGTTCGACTCTTGTATCGGTCCTCAAGAGTGTTTGAAAAATTGCTTTCGAAAGCTTTTTGAAAATGTGTCGGTGTGAAAAGTATTTTTGAATTTGTTTTGAAATTAGAGCAAGTATCTAGAGTCGTCTACCTACCCTAAGGAATTCGTCTGTGTAAATGTCCTTGAAGTAGTGCCATCCCACCATTGAGAGGTAGGTAGCACCACCGTTGGAGGTGTTCGGGTCAATTCGAGGTTCGGGACATGGTGATCACCAGAGCAATGGGAAGACACCTTAGAAGCTACCCTCATGCCAGGTTCCCGGATCATGAGGACTTACTAAGACATCCTCTACTCGACGATCACCTTTCGAGGCAAGGCAACAGTGAGGCGTACCCTAGGGGTGGTGTGTGATTTGTGTGTCGGATTCGTTTATTTTTGTCTTGTTCATGTCAAAGTGATCTATGCGTTTGTTTTTATTTTTGTCATTCATTCTTGCATGCATTTATTTAACAGTTAAAAAGTGCGGAAAGATAAAATTCCTAAACTATTACAAAGGCGCGGGTCCACATCGCCAAATTAAAATCCAGGACCCGATTTGACATAAAATAAAGAAATAAAGTAAAGTGCGAAAGATAAATATTTACACGGCTTTGGGAGAGATACAGAAATGTTAAACGAAAAAGAAATAGATATGCGAATTAAATAAGAATTAAAACGAGGGCGTTGGACCCTTTTTAACTAAATTAAATTTAATGATGAAATTAATTAATTTAAAAAAAGAAAAGAAATTGTTTTTAGTATTTTTTGGTATTTTATGATTAATGAAAAAAGAATTAATTAAAATGAATGCTAACCCTAATTCTGGTTGTTTTTTTTATTTATTAAAAAGAAGATTAAGTTTTAACCTAAAATTAACCCTAATTAATTTACATGCAATTTAATTACAAAAATAAATATTTAATATTTGATTATTATGAAAGAAAATAATAAAAAAAAAGATAAAAAATTACTTAAAACCTAATTCTACTAATTTTAGATTTTTATTATGAAAATATTATAATTAACCCTAATTTAATAACTAAATGAATTAATGTAATTTATTTATGAAAATACTAAAATAAAACTATTTATTATTTTTTAGCTTTTCTGATTTTTTATTGTTTTGTATTTTTATGAAAATAATTGAATTAAAAGACAATAATAATAATAATGCAAAATAAAGAAAGTAAAAAAAAATTGGCAAACCTAGGGGGTCTGCCCCAAATTGTGAGGTTTTCTTTTAGCAATCTGGCCCAAGATTCTGAGGCCCTTTTGACTTTCGTGGCTAGCCTGTAGCTCTCTTGACTAATGCCTATGGTGTCCATCAAGTCTGGTCCCTTGGATTAGCATTGTTGGCCAAGTGGCGCATTAGATGGAAGCGTGTATGGTGGTCTTCAGTATATGAAACTGCATGTGAATATTAATTGGAAAAATATATGGAAAGGGGGTGAGGACCTGGGGCTCGAACCCAGGTCCTATGGTTTACCAGTCACTATGCTTGCCAACCGTTCCAGATGCGCGTGTTGTACCTTAAACAATAAACAATAAATATAAAATAAAACAAAAGCGTTAGTGGGTTTGAGCGCGAATTTTTGAATCAACCATTCAGCTTATGCCACTTCATCGTCTTCCTCATGGTTTTTGTTTTCCTGAAAATATACAAAACATTGGCAACAGTTTTTACACCGTTCTTTTAGGCAACCTATTAGAAAATAGCGAATAGCCCCTGGGGCTCCATAAATTAGGCGCGAGGATGGCCTTGTGATCGTCTGAACATGCTGAATCGAGTGGCCTAAGTCTTATGCTCCAATTTTTCCATATTTTAAAACCCCCAATTTGAGGTTCTGAAAACCCTAAAATACGACCATGGCATCTTTGCATACAGTGCATAAAAATCCAATCAAATCATATGGTTAGCTTTAAAACACATCACTGATCATGAATCTATAAACAAAATGCCATGAATGTGCATAGAATGTAAAATACGATTATGAGAAAAAGTGGAAAAAGCTTGACTTCTGTATACCGTTTCAAGGTGCGAGGGACGTGAAAATCTATTCAGTTAGGATCAGTGATGTCCTAGGAAGGTGATGGGATGATTCTTTTGGCTTGAAACGACCTCCAACCCTGTTTTCAGTTTTGAGTTCTTAAGCAAAATTTTCAAGTTTGTGTCTTGGTCTCTAGCGCAGCTGAGTCGTTAATGGCATTAGGGTTGTGTTCTATACTTATGTAAGAGTGAATTAGGTCAAAGAAAACAATCCAAATCCTTGGCATTCATGGTTTGGAAGATTTGATTCTTTCAAGATCTTTTTCCAATATTTTCCATGCTATTTTGTACCAATCATGACCAATTCTCTTCAAATCTTTCCATATTTGATTATGCACGAGTTTTTGAACCTATTACATGTACAAAAAGATTTGATAAATTAGGTTTAGTATTTTCCATGTATTTAATTAATTTAAATGAATTATAAATAATAAAAATCCAAATAAATAAATAAATAATGAAGAAAAACTTCCCTTTAGGCCAATTGGTCATGCACATGCCTTGGATGATGAATTGTGGAAGAAAAATAGGCCCATTAGCAATTTTAGGTCATTTGAAGCAATGTTGACTTTTCGAAATATCCAAAAATTTCCCAACTTCCACAAGGCATAACTTGCTCAATTTTTAAGCTTTGCTCATGTTCTTTGACATTTTGGAAAGGTCTTTGAGTCCTCTAACCAATGTCTTTGGTCCCATGTCATTTTGATTTACCAATCTCAAGTTATGGCCTTTGACTTAAAGTCCCTTTTTGTTGACTTTTGAAAATGACCTATAATGTTGAAATTGATAACTTTTTGTGAGAGCATTTATTGGACTTGAAGTATGAAGAGGAGTTGTAGGAAATGTCTTTCTATTCAAAATGAGCTTTGGATGGAATTTTTCTAATAATCCATGTGAAAGTTATGCCCTGGTCAACTTACAGTTGACTTTTTCAGCTGTCCAAATAAGGAAACTTTTGCATCTTGATGATTTTTGAGCCAAGCTTTGAGAATCATGATCAAGCATTGATCAAATGATGTTTGTGGCTTCAAAATGAGATGTTGACCAAAAATTTGAACTTTTGACTGTCAAATGACAATTTTGCTCCTGCAGTTGACTGTAGAGCAATTAGGGTTTTGACTGTGCAATTTTGTGCTGAAAGTCTTGAAACTTGATATGAGGATGCTTGACCATATTTGTAGGCATATGGGACTTGATTGGACCCTTGGAAACTTCATTTTCTTGATCAGAATAAAAACCCTAATTTTGACTGTTTAGGAGACCCTTGCACTGTGCAACCCTTGGGGAATTTTGAAGCTTGTCTTGGCAAATCTTTGAAGAATATGGGAGGGAAAATTTTGGGGTACAACAGTTGCCCCTGTTCAATCTTCTTAGACCTGAGGATGCAGATTGGCTGACGTGCCTTTCGTAATCCGAGGGTAGAAGATGATTGAACACTAGAGTGCCCAGAAATTTGCGCTCACATAGCAGCAGTGTGATGATGGGAATGGGCTTATAGCTGCCATTTGGAGATTGGTGAATAGGATGATGGGCTTATGGATGCCATCTGGATGTTGATCGCGTAAGAGATTCCTTAGCGAGAACTTGCGTACCTGCAAAAGAAAAATGAGTACCTGACATGTTGCAGGAGCTGGTTTTCAGATGCTTTGTGTAGATGTGTCCTGACTGGTTACAGGAGCTGAGTCTGGAGCTTCAAAAGATGATGAATAAACCAGGGGTGATTGCTACCTCAGCATGAACAGTGAGAGAACCTTGGATGACTTTAACCTCAACAGCAATCGTTGAGAAAATCTTGGTGGGAATTACCATCTCCGCAGGATCGGGGAGAGAACCATAGGCAATTATAATCTCAAAAGCGGACGTTTGAGAAAAACCTGGAATGGAATTATCGTCTCCGCAGCATCGGGGAGAGAACCATAGGCAATTATAATCTCAAAAGCGGACGTTTGAGAAAAACCTGGAATGGAATTATCGTCTCCGCAACATTGGGGAGAGAACCATAGGAAATTATAATCTCAAAAGCGGCCATTTGA